ATGTGTATAGTGTATAAACATACGTAATGTATATAGTGTCAGGTAGGGGTACAACTTCATGATAGAAGTACCTATGCAAAATGGTAACACATTCATACATACATACCAGTGTTAAAAAACCCAGTTATAACCCATTTTGCAACTTAACAGAGCCCTCTTGTTAAGTAACACACTCATTTAACCCTGAAACTGTTACCCAGGAAAAAACATGTTATATTGTGTTAAACGTGTGTTACATTATATGACCAGTTAACATGGTTTTTTTTGGGTTAAATTGCATCTCTGATTAGGACACGCTGATGCATCTCCACCGTCCAAATCATTTAAATCCTACGCTTTTTGGTCGCGATCACCCTATTCTCTTCATGTGAATGTGCTATCTCTTTGCCTCCTCCAACCCAAACCCTAGCTCTTTGCCTCCTCTGAAATTCCTCAGGCTATCGACGACTTTCAGTGAAGTAACTTTTTTATTTTTCAGTCATGTATCCGGCATCTCAGATTATTTCCTTTAAGTAAATAGTGTTTCTAAAATTATCTTCCAAATTTCAATCTTTGTTATTGCTAATTTATCATAAATCATATCAAACTTTTTTGCTCAATTACTTTACCCTTCAACATAATTTTTTAAGATCTATCATAGAATTAGAGTACCGAGATTAATTAGTAGGTTAATTGTATTGATTAGATAATTACCTTCAGTTATTACTCAGTTTTGATTAGGTTTAGTTTTTAGTTTTCAATTTTCAATTAATACTAAAGTTGTGAAATTAAGTTTGCATGCAATCTCTATATATGCAAAATTTCTTACTACCGTTACATAATCATGTTTAATTTGGTTGATGTCGTGAACTTAATTAGGAATTAGAATATTTTTGTGAAGTTAAGAACTCGAGAGTTAGAGGTGTTTAGACTTAGTTTTATTGCTTTAAACTGGACGACGTTAATGTAATTGATCATTTGATGATGTTTTTTTGAAATGGTTGTTAGTCATATATGACTAACTTTTGGTAAGAAATTGTGACACTGTATGTTGGAAAAATTGTAAAGAAGAGAATAAAGAAAATTTGACTTTGTATTTCTTTGATTCCGATTACAATTCGATTACAAAAGAGGAGAGAATGAATTTGATTCTCTCCTTTGTTTAAAACTGGGTTCTTCTTGGCAGCAATGGAGTGCTTCCTTCGATTGATTACGTCGAACTTGCTCTCCGTTGACGATCCGACCGTCTTTATCTCGTGGGAACGATGAACTTTCGTGGAAAGTTTTATGAATAACTCTGAATGAGTTTAAGAACTCTGAACGAGTTTGAACTCTGTGAATAGAGTTGTTGGAACCGAAAATTCGGTTAATAATCAAGCTGTTTTTCTGTTGTTGAAGGATTCTCTCAGATTTGATCTTCTGAGTTTGATTCAAAAATCATATCTCTAAGGATTTCGTTGCTACTGAATCTCCAAGCCGGAGTGGTTGGGATCCTGAGAATCCAACCTCCTGCTAAATCTCTTGTTTGCAAAGAGCCAGCGCCCGTCAAAACGGCAACTCAGTGTGGTTTTTGCGTTCTGATCATCCACAACCTTTATCTCCCGTGTTTGTTGAGGCCTTTTATAGGGGATAGGAGATTGTAACTGAACTCCTATAATCCGGCTACGCTATGTGGGCGAAAATCCTCAGAACGTGGATAACGTTTTGGAACCGTTCGACTGCATGGTTTTGAGTGAGTGCCCAACGGCCAATCCTGCGTTTAGAAAGCCCAACTTCGGCTTCTTAGGATTGAGACGGCGAAGTATGGGTGTTAGCTGAACAAGCCATTGAACGCAGGGTCGCTCACGTTTGGCTGTGGCATCGACGACGCGCAGAGGTCGCTGTTGGTTGAACACCATTGAACGCGAGGGATCGGCATGCACGTATTGGCTTGTGCATCGACGACGCGAAAGGTGGCGATGTTGGTTGAACACAATTGAAACGCGAGGTCGCGTCACGGTTTGGGCTATTTGTGGCATCAGACGACCAGCGATAGGTCGTGATTGGTTGAGAAACACCATTGAGGCCAGAGGTGTGACCGCGTCGCGTTTAAGACTTGTTGCACTGTTGAACGGCGGGGGTCGGTGGTTGGTTGAAGCACCATGAACGCGAGGTCACTCAGCTGTTGGATTGTGGATTGGAACAGCAGCGGGGGGATACTCGCTTCATTTCAAATGTGTAGATGACGCGCGGGATGACATGCGCGCGTCTGGCAGAATGAGCTATTTTGAGCTTGTAGGCCTTCTATCGTGGTGCATTGCAAGGACCCGTTGTTCAGATAAGCCGCTGCTTGTAAGCGTGTTGGGAGGAGTGGGGTGTGAAAAGTCGTGAGCAGATTGATAACTTCAACTATCAGAATTGTGAAGTCATCGATGAATAAGAGTTTTCATACTTACGTCAAGGAAGTTTGTGTGTAAATGTAAGGCTCTTCTCGATCTAGTTGTGAGAAAGACCGTCTATCGCACTTTGCGGATTGATCGACCGCACACGCTCACTCTCTCTGATTGTAGCTTCGTTTGTAGGAGCTAGACGGGAATGCAACATTGCCATAGTGGTCTAAAGAGGCGGAAATTACTTGCCGCTGCAGGCTCTCTAACGGCAGCAATTCACCAAAGCTAAGTCCAAAGCCTTCTTATTTCTGAAAATCATCTCGGATATATGCTGGCCATTACATACGCATCTTCATGTTGTTGTCAGCAGCCGGATCACAAGGAATGGGCGGGGTCATCAATCTATCTGCAGAAAGTGTGAAGGTCGTGTTTCGCGTGGCAATTGTGGAAGTATGCGGATGGGCAGTTGATTTGGGGAAGCTACGTCTGAGGTTTGTGGCCTCCGTTTGGTCGGAGCTTGTGCTTGGAATAGACTGGGATTATTGTGATTTTTCAAGAGCTAGCGAGACACACCCGCAGTCAAGAGTTATTCGAAGATACTCTGCTTGGAATTGATGGGAAGACAGAATATTTCGGATGGACCAGTTTTGGAATTCAATGTTTTGTGGTTGTTGTTCGCTCCGTTTGATCGAGCCAGATGATTTCAACGTTGATTGTAATCTAGCTGTACCCCTCCAACAGACTCCCCAGTGGAGTCGTTTGTTTCTTCCTGGCTTTGGTCGCCTTGGTAGCCAAGAAATTGCTGTTCATGGTGGTCTCAACACAGAGATGACTTCTGCATTTGAGGATTGGAGCGCGTGGGTGAGCCCAGCGTTGGGAAAATTTGAACGCGCAGGTGAGCATCGCGTTTGGAAGCTGAACCAACTCGAACGCGAGGGTCGAGTTTGGGCGGGCTGATGGCCTCGAATCCCGTCCGTTACGATTTGACAGCTCATAGCTGTCTATAAATAGACCGCTAGGGATCAAATCAAGAGTCATTCGACTCTTCTTGAAATTTTAACGAAAAATTTTCGTTCTCATCTCCGGTGAAAACTGTTCTTCTTCTCCGACGAGATTCAATGGCACCAAAGAAGTTGGTCTCTCGTCCTACCAAATCTGATGCCGCTACGGCTCAAGGATCGGCCCCGTCAGCGCCGGCCGGCGGCGCTACTGCTCAGGCGGATGTGACGCCCCAACTCCCCTTGATCGGTGGTGAGTACGACCTTCGTGGTCATTAAACTTGTTTCGGCAAGTTCTGATCTTGAAATTAACGAGGAAACTCATTCTCATAACGCGGGGCTGGACTCCGTCGTTTAACCTTCTTGACGAGGGGTTTAACTTCCGCGTCTCAGATTTTTTGACGCGAGGGTCGACCCACGCGTCTGAACTTTCTGACGCGAGGCTCGACCTTCGCGTCTGAACTTTCTGACGCGAGGCTCGACCTTCGCGTCTGAGATTTCTGACGCGAGGCTCGACCTTCGCGTCTGAGATTGTCTGACGCGGGGTTCGACCTTCGCGTCTGGGCTTGTTTGACGCGGGGTTTGACCTTCGCGTCTGAAATTTGATTTTGAGTTGTCTAACTCTTTTCTTCCTTTTGCAGTGCGACATACCAGCGAGCCTCTTCTTTTTCGCCACCACTTTGGACATGAAGGTGGTGCAGACATGAACATAACTTTCAGCTCGCGTTTAGAACTCCCGGTTTTCCGAATGAGGGAGAAGAGTCGCGTAGAAATAATTACCCAAGCTTCTTCCGACACTCTTAGGACATTGGTTACGGACGCTCGACTTGAAAGCCCAAGCCGTAAGCCCATAACCAAACCTGGATATCTCTTCGGGGACTTTGTTGACTTCAACGCAAGCACTGCTTATGATGGGGGCTATAAGTGGCTGCGGAGAGTTGAGGAACGCAACCTTTTCTTGCCCAACATGGAGAGGATGTTCCCCCTATCTTATTTCCAATGCGCTTCCGTCCCGAGGCGTATGGATTGGCCCCTGGTTAAGGATCAAGATGGGGTTGCTCTAGGAGCTCTGACTTTCTATGGGGTTCGCCCCGTTGGTTATAATCGGCAGGTG